ATTCCTAAACCTCGTGTTCCACCATCAAAAGAGAATCCATACTCGAAGCCAACTACACTTAAGTGTTTCCGATGCTTCCAACCGGGACATAAGTCCAACGAGTGTCCGAGTCGACCTCAAATTCAAATTGCGGAAGGAGAGCTAGAAGAGGATCAGGATAATGCCCAAGTCAACTCCGAATATGTAGTTGAAGATCTCGAAGCAGACGAAGGAGAGGCTGTCGTGTGCATCCTGGAACGTCTATTGTTAGCCCCTCGGCAGCCCACAACCTCACAGCGCAATGCAATATTCCGCACTCGTTGTACCATCAACGGAAAGGTATGTGAGATGCTCATTGATAATGGGTGCACTGAGAATGTTATTTCACGCGCCCTAGTGCAGTCGTTACAATTGAAAACGACTAAGAATCCTCTACCATATAAGATCAGCTGGGTAAAAAAAGGAGTAGACATTCAAGTGACCGATATGTGCCGCATCAGTTTTTCTATCGGGAAGCAGTATACCTGCGAGGTCCTTTGCGATGTTATTGACATGGACGTCTGTCATGTCATTTTGGGAAGGCCATGGCAGTATGACAGCGGGGCAGTTTACGACTGTAGACAGAATACTTACTGTTTCGAATGGAAAGGTAGAAAGTTGAGACTACTACCTAATAATGGCAGTACTAGTGACATCCGGAATAAAGACAAGGCAGTACTATCTATCATTCCGGGAACCGCCTTATTAACAGAGAAAGGTCACAAATGTGTCTATGCTTTAGTGATGATAGAAGAACACTCAAGCTCCCAACCGAAAACAACAGCCCCTGAAGTATCCGAATTGCTTCAGCAGTTCCAGGATCTCATGCCAAACGAACTACCTGCAGAACTACCACCCCTGAGATCAATTCAGCATCAAATTGACTTCGTGCCTGGGTCCAATTTACCCAACCTACCGCACTATCGGATGAGTCCGAAAGAGCATGAGATCCTCCAAGAAATGGTGGATGATTTAGTACGCAAGAAGCTAATCCAGTCGAGCCTCAGTCCATGTGCCGTTCCGGCCTTATTGGTTCCTAAGAAGGATAACAAGTGGCGTATGTGCATCGATAGTAGAGCTATCAACAAGATTACGACCAAATTCAGATTTCCGGTACCACGCATCGAAAATCTTTTAGATAAACTTGCTGGATCCAAATTCTTCTCCAAGCTAGACTTGCGCAGTGGGTATCATCAGATCCGTATACGACCGGGTGATGAGTGGAAGACCGCTTTCAAAACTCGTCAAGGTCTATTCGAGTGGAGGGTAATGCCTTTTGGGTTATGTAACGCACCGGCAACCTTCATGCGGTTGATGAATGAGGTACTAAAAGACTACTTGAATCGATTCTGTGTGGTCTATTTCGATGACATTTTAATTTACAGCCCGACATGGTCAGAGCATTTGGCCCATCTCACACAGATTTTGCAAGCCCTGCGGGATTATAAGTTGTATCTCAATTTACCGAAATGTGAGATAGCTACTACCCAGGTATATTTTTTGGGTTTCATAGTGTCCGGTGATGGCGTTACCACAGACCCATCTAAAATTTCAGCTATCCGAGACTGGCCGATTCCTCGCTCACTGTCAGACGTGCGGAGCTTCCATGGTCTCGCCAATTTTTACAGAAGATTCATCAAAGGTTTCAGCATAATTATGGCCCCTATTACCGACTGCCTCAAGAACAAGCAGTTACACTGGACCGAAGAATGCCAGCGCAGTTGGGACACCATGAAGCAATCTCTGAGTACCGCTCCAGTTTTGGCTTTACCGAATTTTGAGATTCCTTTTCAAGTTGACACTGACGCATCGGTCGTGGGAATAGGAGCAGTGTTATCCCAAGATATCAAGCCTATAGAGTACTTCAGCGAGAAGTTGAGCCCATCGCGACAGAAGTGGACCGTGTATGAACAAGAACTATACGCCGTCATTCGCGCCCTCAAGCATTGGGAACATTATTTACTGCATCAAGATTTCGTATTGTGTAGCGATCACAGAGCGTTACAATTCATCAATAGTAAAAAATCCATAAGTCGTATGCACGCTCGATGGGTACTATTTTTACAGAAATTCACGTTTGTACTTAAACACAAATCAAGAAACCAGAATCGTGTTGCAGATGCTTTGAGCCGGAGAACTGCGCTTGTTACTCAACTCAAGACAGAGATTACCGGTCTTGATTGCTTAAAAGAGCTCTATCCTACTGATCCAGATTTTGCTATTATCTGGAAGCAATGCAGTTTATTGCAACCTGAAGCTGATTACTCATTACGGCACGGGTTCCTCTTCAAAGCTAATGCACTGTGCATACCGGATTCTTCATACCGTCAGCAGATCATTAAAGACGCCCACGCTGGGGGACTTGCCGCACACCTCGGCAGAGAGAAAACCATTTGTCAAGTAAAATCGCGTTTCTTCTGGCCTAAACTACATCGTGATGTTTCACGGTTTGTTGAAAGATGCGCCATCTGCCAGGAGTTCAAAGGCACAAAGCAGAATACAGGGCTGTATACACCGCTGCCGGTACCTGACTCCATTTGGGAGGACATTAGCATTGACTTCATCTTGGGTCTACCTCGGACCAAAAAGGGTGCTGATTCCATTATGGTTGTGGTCGACCGGTTCTCAAAAATGGCGCATTTCATCGCTTGTAAAAAAACTTTTGATGCTGTTCACATCGCTCAATTATTTTTTTTGTGAAATCGTACGGCTACACGGACTTCCTCGAAGCATCACGTCCGACCGTGACGTCAAATTCGTCAGTCATTTCTGGCGGGAACTGTGGAAGAGACTACATACAGATATCAACTTGAGCTCGGCATATCATCCTCAGTCGGACGGCCAAACGGAAGTGGTCAATCAAACTCTTGGAAATATGCTGCGGTGTTTGGTTCAGGGAAGACCGAAACTTTGGGAGCAAGCCCTTAGCCAAGCGGAATTCGCCTACAATTCAATGTCGAATCGCTCCACAGGGAAGTCACCTTTTGCAATTGTTTATACTAAAGTCCCTAACCATTTATTTGACATTGCTATTATGCCAAAATGCGCCAATAATTCCGCAGCCGCACTCACAGACGATTGCCAAGCGATCTTAAATGAGGTTCGTACAAAACTTATCTCTTCTAATTCCAAGTACAAAGAAGCAACTGATCTTCATAGACGATTTGTCTCGTTCGAACCTGGAGAACTCGTGATGATCAGGCTTCGGAAAGACCGATTCCCGCCCGGAGCTCTCTCTAAATTAAGTCCCCGCAAATTTGGGCCTGTACCGATACTTAAACGTATCAACGACAATGCTTATATTGTCGATCTTCCAGATACCTTTCAGACCTCGAAGACGTTCAATGTTGCAGACATCTTTCCGTATCACCCACCTGACGGAGGCACCGAGTCCAGTATTCAGGT